TTCCGAATAAGATGATAGGCAAATTAAAAACGGCTATTATAATTGCAGATTGAGAAACGAGTTCCCTCGACTCTTTCATTCTACGACGCTTGGGTGGACCTGAATTTAGACGTTTATCTGAAATTTTAATAATATACCTAATTTTGATTGTAATAAAATTTCTTCAAAATATCACAGATCGTAATTATAACATACTAAAATACATAAAAATGTAAAACATGAGCAGTAAACGAATTGGCCTATGACAATAGGGATCATTAAAGTCATTACGTAAACAGTAACAAATCCAAAGGCTTCAGCTAATAAAGATGAGATCATAACTGAATCGCGAAATGTGAGTCGTAGGATCCATGTACAATATTTTGGCGTACGTATCAATACGCAGCACTGGTTTTTTACGTTAAAATATTTTTTAATCTTGAATTAAAAATAAAAATAAAAAAAAAGATATTGTCATTTGGGTTGAAACAGAATTATATTCTGAGTATGAATTCGAGAACACATCACTTGGATTAAGTAAGGTAACATAATTTTTATAGGATTATAACTTGGCACCAATTAGTTGAATATCAAGTCTTTTATACAAATACACAAGTATTATAATATTTTACTTTTTTAAAGTGAAAAATAGTACCAGTTAGGTTTTGAAGCATTTGATTGACAAATCGAAAAAGGAATACTATTACTAATTGACCAATTAAAAAATGCTCTGAAACATTTATAGCATCAAGTAGATCATGATTAAGATTATATGAGAGCGTGCTTTTTTGCTCTCTTATGACTCTCAATCACTACTCTCTATATACATGTCAACAAAATTTCTCGTAAAGGTAATAGTAGATAATTTTTCGTAAAGGAATGACAGCTTGTTATAAAATCACCAATACTGAAGTTATAACATCGATGTTATGAAACTGATCAATCACAGTCATTTCATTCTTCAGAGGAATGGCTGATTGGTTAGTTTTATAATATCGATGTTATAATTTCAGTGTAAATCGAGTCGTGTAAATGTAGTCATTGATGTTCACTTTATAATTTATATAAGTATCGATCCGCATTGCACATAATTTATATAAGCATCCGCATTACAATTATTTTAAATATTTTATAAAATGAATTAATTTCAGAAATGATAATTCCGAAAA